CACCAGCAGAGATAACTGATGATGTAAGAGTAATATAATCACCAGCAGAGATAACTGATGATGTAAGAGTAATATAATCACCAGCAGAGATAACTGATGATGTTAGAGTAATATAACTGCCAGCAGAGATAACTGATGATGTTAGAGTAATATAATCGCCAGCAGAGATAACTGATGATGTTAGAGTAATATAATCACCAGCAGAGATAACTGATGATGTAAGAGTAATATAATCGCCAGCATTGATAACTGATGATGTTAGAGTAATATAATCGTCAGCACACAGCAGAAACCATGAAATATCTGAGCAAGTTAAGGAAGTTCCAGATTGTGTCCAAACAAGTACAGTTTACATGTATAGCCAAAAAAGAAAAATACAATATTGGAAGAATTGCAGAGCTTATGAAGTAGAATAATCATAAATAACCCTTCATGTACTAAACACTTAACTCTTTAAACCTGTAATTGTTTTACACATTTTGACAGAATTAGTTTCATGATTTCCTAATAATTATTACCATACCTTATAAAACTTCAATTTTCTTAATCTTATGGATAATAACATGGTTTGGATTAGTTTTCAGCCAAAGAGACACAAATATTGTCAGATGCTGGCAGTGTCCACTCAGGTTTAAGGAGTTAATTGCCATGTCTCTGAACTATAAGTGAGTATAGTAAACTTTTAACTTATTATTGCACTGTATTAAATGGTTTCCTAAGTAAATAAATGCACTTAACCTAACTGCAACGAAATGCTTACTGTACCTTTAATGTTTTTTGGTTCCATTGACAGTACTTGGTTAGTGTCCACGAGTACATCTTTATACTTTCGGAGCTTGATATCTATTAAAATGGTTAAATGAAAATAAAATTATTTTCCAAAATGTTTGGTACTGTTTATAGTAATTGACTGACCAGTGTATTTATAAATGTTTAGTATGACCAAGTTAGAAAAACATCATCTAATCTTTTCACCTACTGCATGTCATATTTAAAATTTATGATATTTTTACAATGCTTCATTAAAAACAATAAACTGTTAACAAATTATCTAATTTGTTTTTCAATTACCACTTAAAATATCTATGTTTTGTCTCTCATATTCCTTGAACTTACTGATGTACTATGTATTCCATTTTAATTGCAGAGTACAAGTCATGTTGTTAAGTTGCTATCGTTAACACTGAATCTTTCAATCATGAAATATATTTAAAATAAATTACATTATTACAAAGGATTAACAGAATTATGAAATAAACAAAAAGTTAAAAGCAAACAATTTGGAGATTTTTTTTTCCTTTGCTAATACATATTACTCACTAGTTTGTGCTCTATTATTGTATGCAGCAAGCATTGGTTGGATTTTGATACTTCTGGAAAAGTATATGAGAGCTTCCTCATAATCATGTGCTCGGAAAGCCTGGAAAAAGTAGAAAAAAAAAAACAATGTTGCTATATTAACTCTTTATTATAAACTTGATTCTTTTTTTATTAACTACACCATCTTTAATAGAATGTTATTTTTACTCATTGTTAAGAAAACATAAAAGACTATAAGACAAGTTATTATTACAGTTGAAACATACACTAATTAGCAACACACTATTTATCATAAATATTTATCACAGTGACACGTCCCGTCATGATTTTCAAGAAGACAAGAAGCATATCATTCACTGACAATTCAGACAAATTACCACCAAGTGACACATAAATTAGGGCCAAGGAAAGAAGGGATACCGTGACTACTGCATTTACATACTAAACACCATAGAACATGCCAAACTCCATTGAACTCGTATGAAGTATGTGATCTTTCAATGACAGATTTGTACAACTATCATTGTCACCATGGCAACCTCGTAGCAACGTGTAGTTTTAAAGGTACAGAAAATTTATACTGCTTACACAACTACAACTTCCACAAATGAAACTCTTATTTTAAGGAGAAAGAAATAAAGCTATTTACATGACTTACATACTAGAAATATCATATATACAAGTATTATATTTACATGTATACACATTAAATGAAACCTGTTGTATGTCAATAGAGGGCCACCACACACTAAAGAAAAGTAAGTTCCATGAAATGGTTATGAACAGTCCAAAATAAACAATATATTATCTAGTTAATAATGACTTCCTATATAGCTCACTACTATGTTTTGAGAGAAGAGTATGTTTTCTTATGGTGGATTATTAGAAGTTTATCAATACATTTTAGTAATGGTATATAGCGGCATTGATCTATTTGTCTTTATTTAAGTGATTAATGAAAGACCTTTTTTTTGGTTCATGAAAGTAGTTTTGTGTTTTTGTACTGTATTCAGCATTTTCCATTTTTTCAACACAGTGCTATTATATATTCCTAGGTGATACCTTGTTGATGTGTCCATATGACTCTCTTTCATCATCATTAACATAGTAGTAGGCATGGCTACTTGTCATGGAAAGGAACAGCAAAATTAACAATGCTTTAACATATTACTGAAACTCAGATGTACGAAAAATTATGTCAAAAAAAAATATATATCCTTATACAACCCAACATCATTGATTTCAATTATCGAAGTTAATTCAACAAAAACAGCAAAATAAAATAAATAACTGTAAATTACAAAATACAATACACATAAAGATAATAACAATAATGAGACTTAATGTACATTAAAACACTAAATGAATGATATCTGCCGTTAAGCCAAATAATGTCCAGGTGAAAAGGCAGAGCTTAATCAAAAGCCCATATCCTAACACTAAAAAACATCTTACCTCATTTCCCTTTGCTTTTTCCTTTTCTGCTAAGAATGATTTTTGTTCATCTGATAGTCCTGTAATTCAAGTTTGTTTTTAATTAAAACTAATAAAAACAAATACTACTTGTAAACATTTTTATTTCTATATAACTTAATACATCTTTTGGTTACAGGGATAAGAAAAGGTTTTCAAGCATTTATAACAATTAATTAGTTTATTTGTAGGAACAAATGTTAGATATACAAACAACATTAAGTTAACATATGAGGTTAAGTTAATAAAGGCCCACAGTAACAAAGGCTTAACAAACAACAAAATAAAAACTAACTAATGTTGTCCCATTGCTATCATTCACTGTTAAATTTAAGGAATATAATATAAAATATGCATGCAGTTCATTTAACAGTCTATGAGATTTTGAGCTAATTCAGACCATATACATTTATAGTTTATACTACACATGTGTTAGTATAAACCTACTTGTACCTACATGTACTTAAACCTATTTTTTCAAAAAGTAAAGACTAAAGCTTGAGCATTTTACTTTCTCTGATCAAACCAGAATTCAAAAATACGTTCAAGGTAATTTCATGGTAAGCCAAAATCACCTGGTAATCTAAAGATCTTAACTCCGTGAAGTAATCCTCCATTACTTGGAAACTTATGCATCTCCACAAGGCAAATTTTAAATTACTTTATTATGTAAAGATTATAAATATTCACAGTAAATCTAAAATTCGTACCTTCACAAGATAAATATAAATCAACTAAGTAATATACGCTTGAAGATCTTATATGATAAACTGATAACCTGGAGATCCTACCTTCCCAGAGTAGATCTAGGTTACTTGATAATGAAAACCTTAACTCCTCTTGGTGAATTTAAACCAGACAGTAACTCTTTAAAATCTTACATCAACATGGTAAGTATGAATCACCTGATAACCTTAAGATTTTACATACCTCCACCTGGTAAATTTATATGACCTGACAACCTAACAATCATAACTCCACTTGGTAAGCCTAAATCGTGTTGTAACATTAAAATTGTATCTTCATGTGATAAAGTCATCTGATTACCTTAAGATTACATCTCTACACGGTAAACATAAATTATTAGTAATCCAAACATTTTAATCCCAAATGACAGATCTGAAATTTTACTTCCATATGGTAAAGTTACATCATCTGATAATACGAAGACGTTAACTTCCCATGATTTGTATAAATCACTTGAAAGCCTAATGTTCTTACCTCTCCATACTGACATTATAGTCTGGTAACTTGAATTTACACAATAAAAATAAATCATTTGGCAACACAATGGTGAAGATCTTACCTTCATAAAATATATCGACATCAGCTGAAAGCTCTGATCTGCTAAATCCTTTGTTCGTTTTTCCAATTTCTTTCTTATTTTCTCTTTAGATATCAGAACAGTACAATTGTAGAAGTTATTTCCACATGAATGTATCAAAGAAATAACTTATTATTATACTTATAAATTAAATATCCTCAACAAGTTTCAACATTTATCATGGTGTTTTTACCATCCAAATATAAATATATTTACAAATCTGATTGCTCATTAATGTTTTGGATAAACTGTATTGGAAAAGACTCAAACACTGTGTTTTTCTTTGCACATTCTATAAGAATATCTTCATGTTTAAATCAAGAAGGCATATTTTAATATTTGACTGTGAAAAACAATGTTACGTATTTGCTTGTTTGTTAATTTCCCATAGAAATTCTTTCCGAGAAACTTCAGTGATACAAGTCCTTTCTTTATTAAAACTAGTTTATTCTTTCTCGATATAAACTTTGTAATATACTTAACAACTTTTATAACACATGCTATAAATCACAGTGATTTACACACTTTACTTACGGTGCCTACTGTTCACTTGATTCAATTATCTATCTCTTCAATCTATATCACTAGCTTTCTTTGCCAGGCTTATATACTAAAAAAGAGGGCATCTAGCAAACACTTGGACATTCACAGGGTTCCCCCGATAATTCTAGAAGCTCCAGCGCGCATGCTCCCAGCATCACGCGTCTTCTGCTGTCGTAACAATAACATTATTTTATTTTATTGGTTTTTAAATATATTCACATAATATATATGTCCTCAATGCCCCCCACCCCCACCCCAGTGGCACTGTGGTATATCTTCAGACTAACAATGCTAGAAACCGGGTTTTGATACCCGTGGTGGGCAGAGCACAGACAGCCCATTGTGTAGCTTTATGCTTAATTATAAACAAACAAACAAATGTCCTCAATGAATATAAGCTCTGGTAGAAGACTTATCATGAAAATATGGTTTGAGTTTCTTGATATAGTTTTGTATAACTTGTTTATTTTTCATTTTTTTAATACTGTTGTAGCAGTCAAACAATGAAATGTGTATCTTATGAACTTAAATGAAATAATTTAGTGCAATAAAATGTAAAAGAGCAAAAAGTCTGGTCTATTCAGCAGAAATATTGTAAGTTATGGTATTCCGTTGACTATGTCCTTTTATCACCTGCTTAATTTGTAATAGTTTTGTTCTGGTGTCAAACAGACTAAGAAAATATTTTTATGTTTAATTAATGAATGTTGGTTATAAAAAATTCCATTTAGAAAGCCATTAATAACTTTCATCTTAAAGCTCTGCATTTATTTATTTTTTTGCCCCCTGGTGGGGCAGCTATAAGTCTACAGAATTACAGCACTAAAATGAGGGGTTTCGATTCCCCTCGGTGAACACAGCAGGTAGCATGACATGACTTTGCTATAACAACACAAACACACATTTAGTTTTTCTTATTTTTTTTATAATACTAAGTTTAAAGAATACTCTAATACTGTACATATTTGCTTTGCAAAAATTAATGATCATGTCTCTTATGCAAATAATGTTTATACTCAATGTTAAAACAATTCATTTTACCTTTTTTAAATATTGTTTTTAAATAAAATGTGTACATGTTTTGGCAGCATATTTTGTGTGTAATATCCCTTTACTTACAAATGTAAACTTACTTGTTCACGACAGTACAATCATATGACTTAATTTCTTGGGAGGTTTTTTCTTTTACTGAATCAAGGCCAGAAACCACTTCTTTGTCCTATTAAAATATAAATAAATCAGTATATAAATGGATTTAAAAACAAAATATGTAAAAGAGTTAAATATGAAAAATTACTATACTGAATAGATGTAAAAAGTATTCTTAAAACTTTAAATAATTCAACTTTCATTGAGAATACACAAAATTATTTATAGTATGCTCACTTTCGCAAAATTTGATTGTCAAGAAATGTCCAATCTGTTTTAAAATGGCTTTCAAAATAACCTGTAGTTCATCATTATTCAATACTGAGTAAAGCAAGAATTCATACAGTTGTCTCAAGTAAAAAGATTTTTCATTAATGAAAATTTACAATGTATAATTTTCTTGTTTTTAAAATTAACATACATAAACACTTGTCCACAATGAATGTACATTTAAAAACTCAAATTGTGATGTATGTCTTGTAAAACTGAATGCCCCAAGAAGTAATTATTTACATAAACACATGAATTTGCTTGCTATGCTGTAGTACTTTTACAACATTTAACACTAACTCTTAGGAGTGACCAAGTTGTTAAACACAAGTCAAGTAGTATTTCAAAATTAGTCAAATACTTTGTTGTTTTTACAAGTGCAATCAGCTGAAAAAAAATCCATTATTGCTGATCTTTACCCAAACAAAAACAGCTTGATAGTTTGTGAGCACTTTTTTGAGTATTTTTTCTTTCCTTGTAATGTACCTTTGTGATCAAGGAAAAATGGTAGTTCATAGCCAATATTAAAAGAAGAAACAAGTCTATTAGTTTTTCCTTTATTTTTTTTACACACACAATTTGCTCATTAGGCATAAAACCTGCATGGCTATTACTCTTTTCCAGAATCAACAATGGCAAATGTTTTGCTTTATCTTGAAGATTATACACCTTTAGAACAGATCTGTAAAATTTCATTCACCAGCTTTGTCTATATTTGATTCTAGAGCCCCAGAAAAACATTTTCCAGAAAGTTTCAAAATTTTTAACACCCCCAATCTTTGCACAACAATAAAAAAAAATATTGGTACAATTTTTTTTTTATTTAGTGGTATGAATGTAAAGAGTAAAGTTCAATGTACACACTTTTGCAAAGTTTGAATGTCAAGAAATGTAAAATCTGCTTTCAGTGGCTTTCAACATAACCTGTATTCCATCATTATTCAATACTAAGACAGGTGATTCCAAAAAAAACAAGCATGTGAAGTGCAGTAATGAATGTTGGGGGACTAAGTTCTTACACCACAAGAACACAGTGATCATAGCCAGAGGATTCTTATATCTCACACATTTTACACTATACACTAATCCTAGTACTTGTGGCATGAAGAAATTAATTTAATCTGCATTTACTTGGCTGAGGTAGTTACCTACATTTTTTTTTCAGTTATAAATAAATATTTATTCTTAAAAGCATGTCACATCAGTAACAAATGACAAAGAATAATGACTGATAAAATAAAAAATACTCCCCTTCCTCTGGTCAGTCTCTTCCCCCTGAGTTTATTGTGCATAGCTCAGCTCAGAATGAGTCATTTTGTGCTACTGTACATAGCTAAGCTCAAGACAGGTGTCATCCAGTGTCAATGTGCATAGTCATCTCAGAAAGACAGTGTTATCCAGTGTTACTGTGCATAGCTCAGGTCAGAACAGGCGTCGTCCAGTACCGCTGTGCATAATCATCTCATAACAAGTGTGTCAATCAGTGATACTGTGCATAGCCCAGGTTAGAATGAGTGCCATCTGGTGTTACTGCACATAACTCAGGTCAGAATGAGAGTGTCATCCAGTGTCACTGCTTCTTGTGGCTCTTTTTATTTTTCACACGTTGTCATTCTTAAAGGTAACATATTTTCTAGCTCCACATAATCTACTCAACAATGTGTGTAATATTAGCAATATCTTGAACTACAAATTACATCCCTATGTGAGCTGTCTCCCTGTAAGAGTCTAGTTAAACAATAATGATTACAGTGGAAAGTATCTTGAGTTGGTAAAACAAACAAAATACAGGAAATCTATCCAAAACTTCTGCTTTATATATATATATATATACATAGCAGATGATATTTTGTTCAGTGTAAATCACTGATAATTCTTAGGTGAATTAAGAGCTAAGCAGAATGTAAATTCAATTTTACAGCACATGACTAAAGTGATGCAATGTGAGTAATGTGATACTCACTTTTTCTTGCTCTGTTTATGAGGTATTATCTATTGTTTGAGCTAAAGTAGAATTTTGACCTTTTTTTTTACTCAAGTATTTTGGATGAACATATTATTCCACAAATATCCCTGTATCAAAACACAGAGATTTATCAATAATCAGTATGAATTTAGGAAAACAGAGATATTTGTTGCAATATCAGTGAAAGGATACACTTTTAATGATTATCCATTTAAAACATTCATATTGACAGCAGTGTCAAACCTTTTTGTCTTCTTCTTTCCTACTGATATTGTTAACTTGACAAGAATTTCTAACAGGAGGTAAGACCCCTGCTACTGATATACCGTGTGGAGTAATTCTCTGAAGTTTCCTCTCTGAGGTTTTTATCTCCTCTTCCCATGCCTAGAAAGTTTAAATTCAGACACTTTTCAAAACATCTCTGATAAATGAAAATAAAAAATTGACATCACTAATATATAAGAACATTTTCAGATTTTTATACATTGGATTAAGTAGAAAGAGTTTTAAATCATGTTAAATTCATACATTTAAAAACAATTCATTTGTAATGTACATACATTGTAAATTTCGAGAGTTTTTAACACTTCATTTTAACTGATCTAATGTGAAATTCAGCAGTAAAATTAGACTTATACTATTTACATATCTTCACTCTATCCACATTGGAGAATCAAATCCTAGATTTTAAGGTTATAAGTCTGTAAACTTATCACTGACTCACTGGGGGATACATTTACATCCAGGTTTTATTTTTTGCATGCCTTACTATCTTTTGCAATGTACATTATATAATTTAACATCTCTCACATAACTCCTTCCAAAATCATTTAAAAAATAACATTATTTTTTGAGACACAACCAGTCTGAAAAACACTGGTAATGAATGAATGAAAAGTTCCATCTCAAACGACCAACAACAAGTATGTTGTGACAATTGGGTATTAATCGTTTTCACAGTAGTCTATATGAAGTCTATTTATACTACTAATTTATTTATTAGATACTAATTAGTTTATATCATATATCTTGGATGTCTATAAATAGAAAATGTTACAGATATTCAACTAACTCTTAGCATTAGCTTATAGTAGTGAGACGATGTCAGAACTGAAAGTATCAAATTTATAAGAATTTAGAGTAAGTAATGATTAGCCTATTGCTTGGTTGAGAAATAATTAGATAGCTTTTGAGATTGTAGAGTCGTTTTATAAAGTTTGCAAGTGATTTACTGTTCAGATGTTGTCACTGTTAAGACATAGTGGAAAAAGTGATCATTTTTAAACCGATTACAAGTATCTTTCATTAACACATAGAAGAAGTTGAACATTAGTAAGTTGTTCTGAGTAGTGAAAATTAAATTATTTGTATCTTGTTAAATAAATAGTTAATTTTCTATCTCTTGATGTTTCAAGCATCTCTCAATCTAACCAAAAATAACAGATCCAATTTAAATCCTGATATGTAACAACAGTGGTATTCTACAAACGATAGTTTTCTGCTGGACAAGCATCTAGCAAGCAATGTTCCCAAGGATTAGCTTGGCTGTGAGAAACTTATACACGTATATCCAGTAATGAAGCTTTATTAATTTCTTGTTCAAAATATTGATACTTCAGGAAATTACAAATTTCAATTAAGATAGAACAAATAAAAGCCACTGTTATCAAACTAATTTGTGATGCCAGCTCAGCTACTTATGTTAATAAGCAAGTCAACCATAGAAATGTGGTGTATAAAATGGAAAAGTGGAGTACACTCTACGGCTCACAATAAAACATTGGCTTTTTTCATCTATACATAGTTGGAGTCCCATCATTTCATATTATTATACAACTCAGGTTCAACAGAGCAGTCGAGTTACCAAGTTCACATCATAGAATTTACATATTTCATTTTCCTTACATAATAAAAGAACATCTGCATCCAATCCATCATTCAGTTATTTGGTGTATTTGCCAACAGCATGCACATAATCTTAAGGTTGTTTGTTTCAGATATTTGTGCAAACTAAACAAGTGCTATATGCACTAACTATCCCTAATTTTGAGTTATATAGACTAGAGTGAATGCAGCTAATCAACAGTAACCAATGCAAACTCTTGGGTTAATCTAATCAAATAGTAGGATTTGATTGTCACTCTTATAATAAAATATATCTTAGCCCCAAAGTTCAGAGTACAATTTTGCAACAACAAGACAAGGATAATAAACCCTTGAATCCATATTCTGCCACACTAACCACTAGGCTGACACCAAACATAACAAACAGGAAACCAATAACTAACTTTTTTTTATTTAATTTTTTTAAATAAGCAGATTATTTTACAGAAGATTTTTGATTTAAACTGTAATTTCAAGTCTTATTCTGAGATCACATTTTAAAAACATGCTGTTCTTTTTTTCAGAATTTCTGGTTCTGCAATGTTTAGAGCTCATTTTCTGTTGACTTTCTAGAATTTGAAGGATTTATAAAAACTGTTCAATACATATAGACACACAATCATTTAAGCTGCAAGTGTTAAGCAATATCAGAATATTCACTGAATTTTATAATTCACATCCAGTTATACTGAAAACTATAATAAAAATCAACTTCAATTTAAATGTTGATCAGACTGAATACTAATAAAAAAAAATCTCAGAATGATAAGCAACGCTAGTGACAAATTTAATTTTTTTATGGTGCAAGAAAAGTTACAAGAAAAATAATAATTATGCACAATCCTTATTGATAAGCAATAGAGAAATATAACAAACGTCTATACAGTAATATGTTTACAAACAGTAGCATAACATTTTTATCTAAAATAATTTCTTGATAATATAGTCCAGTAAATGCATAAAAATGTTAAACAAACCTGCAAGTCATTCTTTAATACATTTTGTTGACTCTGAGAAATATTGGACAAGCGTACGACTGGTTCTGCTTTTCTCAACAGTTTACTCTGTGGTGCTACTTTGAGTAATTGGTTTTCACAATATTTTATCAAATCAGGAAAGTGGCCTTCTTCTCCAGACCTGTATATGAACATTTGTTTAAAAACTAACCATTTCATACCTTATTAATTTAGTAATTACACGTTTGTTTACAGTGAAGTGTACTATTGACTTAATTCATTACCTTGTAAAAAATCTTATTAAAATGATGTCTATAGCTATAAATATTTAATAAATTTAAAAAACAGAGAAAATTATATGTAAAATATAGACATCATAATAATTAACAAAAAATTTAGGAATGCCACATACCAACCTTTAATTTTTTTTATTTTCTTTTAACTGACACACTTATTACAAATAGTTTACATCTTTGTTTAGAAGGTTTACCTATTAAAATAGTAGAAGAGATGCATTTAATGCATCTTGTTATGTGCGTGAAAAAGTAGATTCTTTAGATAATATTTCTCAGGAGGGTAATGAGATGGTGGATGGCCAGTTCCTGCAAACCTCAAATAATGATTCTAATAATTATGTTGAGTCTGATGTACTCCTTTTCAAAAATAGAAATTATGAGTTAAAAATTAACTATGGTCATCAATTATCTGTTCCTCTTCAGTAGTTAATAGTAATTATGTTCTGCATACTCAATTGTGTTGTTGTATCACTACATATAAATCAAATCATCACTGGATTCATCCTTGACATTCCTTAAGGTTGCGTTTATAACAGCCCAAGAACTGAAGAAGAGGCCTATTTTTGTTGTTTATTTTTCACACACCTTAAAGGTGTTGACACTAATAACAAAATATTCACTATAATTTATTATTCATTCTACTCTGTTCACAGTATCATTGATTCACCTTTTTATAATTATATTGAAATGCAGTTTGTTTATTTATTAACTTATTAAAATTTATATTTGTCTGATGCAAGAGTGAACATTGTTACATTAGCTGTGTCTAACCTCTTCAATGAACTGAACTGATTATGTATGTATATACCTACCATTTTGGTTCATATGATCAGAAAATATTACAAATCAACACGGATTATGTGATTTTAATAGTCTGTTAAATGGTTTACTTATGAAAAGTTTGTAGAATTACACACAGAGTTAAGGCGGAAGTTGGATTCATGCACGGCTATAATTGTTCTGTGTATCTGACCATGTAATTTCCAAAATATTACAAGTCGAAGATTTAGAATAATAGGCTTAGGATAACATTATAATACGAATGGTATGTCATCTACTCTATACTTCACTGATGGATCAATTTGTTTATATTAACATTGAACGTTAATGGTTTTGTCAACAAAAAATGCTCCATCATAGAGAAAACAAAAAATGGGATGCATATTGCATATTTTCAAAATACGAGGTTAATGTTAAATGCTGGCTTATTTAATACAAAAAAGGCCTTTCTTCTCCATGTAATTAAATTATAAAATGCATAAAATAACTTAATTTTTTGGGAAATGTATATATATATATGCGTATGTGTGAAATTCACAGTAAATATTTATTACAATATGAAGTTTACGGAGGTCTTATCTTTATTATACTAATGTATTTTTCTTTTACAATCTCTGGTCGTAAATCAACGTAAAATTAAAAGTGAGGCCTAATTTTCGTAATAGTATTATTAGTTATTTAAAATTAGCAGTTTGTAGTGTACTACTGATAAGTTATAGTATTACTACTACTAATACTAACCTGAGAACCTTAATAATATTTTCTAGTTCTTTAGGGTTTTCACATTTCTTAATGTAACTATAGTCCAGATGTTCTATAGGAATCCTTAACTTTTCTCTAAGATTATAATCTATTATTGGCATTTTCGCATAGTTTTTATATCTAATTTTAAAAAAATGGTTCGTTACAACTCAATGGGCAACATAACAATAGTAAGTCTTAATCCAAACGTGCCGCCGCTAAAATTGTACAACAAAACTGTTTCCATAGTAACTGAAGACGTGCCATAAATTAAATAGTTGTTATGTATTTCAATCCCAATTTAAAAATCAATTTTTCTTATAAAAGTTTTATCATTTTTTAAAGCTTTCAGTGCTGACTGAAGGATGAAAACCGTTTTCAATGAAGACGACAAACAACTTCAGATAAATGTTTATTTTTTTTTACTCGATGTTTCGGCTTACGCCTGTGACGTTCATAAACTCTTTAAGAAAGGCGTAAACCGAAACATCGAGTAAAAAAAAATAAACATTTATCTGAAGTTGT